TCTTTATGCACCAAGAGCTTGTAACACTCCAAAGAGAAAGGAAAAATTGAAATCGCATCATATGACCCCTTTAAAGTGTCATGGTGCTACTGTGTTGGAGCGCGGAGCAAGGAGCGAGGAGACGTGGAGTACATCAAAAGGGAGATTTTAATGAAATCAAGGGAACCAGGAAAACACACGTAGCTGAGGAGGTAGACATCAACAGACATTCACAATATCGGACGAAGAAAATGGAACCACATACTGCTTAAATAATAAGGGAGCTAATGGGACACACCTGAGATCAATAAACTCAACGGGAAACATCTGAAAACACATTAAATAATCAGGACAGGAACAGCAAGACCAAATAAGGGCACAGAAATACAACATGGAGCACGTGGGGAACAAAACACAACACAAGACAGAAACAGTCTGTCTGACATAAAGATAATGTGTACCAAAAATCTTTGTCATATCTTTATGTTGACATACTTTACTAGCCTTTTGTTTTGGAGCTTTGATGCAGTTATCATCTTCTCAAGGTGCAAACAGGAAATAAACTGCTCTGGTCATGTGACAGTTTGCACTAATCATGTGAAACTGCACATATTTCATTGAGACACTTTATTTTTTCCATATTTGCAGTAAGTGCACTAAAACATCAGTCAGTAAGGTTTTTATAGCTTTATAAATGAAAACCTTTTTTACAGTCACTATTGTGACCGGTGGGATTAAATTGGTTCAAATAGGTAGCGGAGCAGTGTATAGAATACAGCAATGGAACTGGAGGCTGTGGTTTGAATGTGACATAGCTAAACAACAGCACCATGGGATATGGTGGACAACATTCTTGTTGTTTGCATTGTACCTGTAAAGAAACATGTTAAAATCAGCTGTATGACTCATTTGTGCCTCACAAAATGGTTCTGTATGTGGGCCGCTTCCATTTTTGGTTTGTAGCATCCAGTAAGAGCCAGATCTTTATATCTCTGGCTGTTGTTTCACTAATTCTCGATGCATGTGACAAAACCCCATCCCTTATCCCATGCCTCACAACTTGTCAGTTTTTTAAATATTCATGCTATGAAAATGCATAAAAATAGCATGAAAAAATAAAAATAGCATTTCCACTTTTGAATGAATAATGATCATTAGAATATTTGTAGCACAAAAAAAAATATTTCATATACATTTCTAATCTGATGTAAACAGTGTTATATATATTAGTAAATTACATTAGAGAAATAAAATATCTCCTACAATCTCCAACAGACAAGCAGGTTTTTTTTGTTTGTGCCTGAACGATGGTGAGCTCGACTGGATGGCTGAAAATCAGCCATTAAGTGCATGGAAACACCTACAACTGTTTTAAAAGCATTGACGGATGTACATTCATGCTTGTATCCATTTACATTTTTATATTTCAGATAAAATGTCCCATATCCAAGCGGCACAGCCGACCAATTGACATGGCCCTTTCATTTCATGAGTTCTGTTAAAGTTTAAAAAGATTCATTTTCCTCTCTGTTTAAGAGTTCAAGGACTGGTGGAGTTGTAACTGTGTCACAAGTCTGTCAGGAGCATTACTGCTGTGGTTAATAGGAATGTTGGCACTATTTCAGGGTCCTATAAAAGAAGACAGATGAAGCACTACCACCGGCCCACATGTCATCTATTAAGAACCAGATTTGTTAAAACAAACCTGAGTGTGCCTCATAAAAGAATATATTACGCCACCTACAGAGTATTGTAAGCCACCTAATGTTTGGAATAAATCACAGATACTAAAGACCAATAACAGGTCTGGGATAATATAACTTCCAATTTGGTAGCGTTTGCAAAACGTTGAACTACTTAATCTTTAACAACCTGGAGGCAATCATGCTGATCTGTCTAACCGTAGTTCTTGATCTGAATGGGCCAAAGAAGAGGAAATATCCTTTTAATTAAACTATGAGTAAATTAAAAATGGCCCCAATGGGAGGAAGCCCCATAAGCATGACATGTTTTTTTTTTGTTTTTGTTTTTTCAGGCAGATCCTCCCACTGCCTCTAGTGATTTATACTTTCATCAGGCAACTGCTTATTGCTTTGCGCTCTAATGTGAAGAAAGTTTTGATGAGTACTGAGGTAACAATTTCATTCTTGGTTTAAAATAAAGTGACAACGTGTGAAAATCCTCATTATCAACTAATCAAATCCAGTTGCAATTTGTGCTGATAATAAAGTGTGATTATATCAGAGTCAGAAGTTAACCAAAAATACTTTTTAAAATATGGGGGCAAAAATGACCCTGCTGTGTCAGAAAATAAAAATGTTCCTGTGGTGACATTTCTGCACAATTATATTACATTGCTTCCTGCACATTTCACAACACTTTCAAAGTGAAATGTCCAGTGAGTGGACATTGAACTGAACGTAAAAGAAACACTCCCTACAACTCTTTTTGAAACATGAAATAGTATATAATAAATTTTGTTGCTTAGCTGCGATGATCTGGCCCATCCGGCACGAATATGGTTTCAATTTCCACTGTGAGAAAATAATAACAGTACTCGTAATACAAATGTGTCAGTCATTACCTTGATTGATTGAAGCAATTGAACTATATGGACAGCATTCTTTGTTTTTATATTATTATTTTATGATATTTATATTATTTAAAATGTCCTCATTAATATAAAAATTTTAAATTAAGCTCTTTAAAAAAATCTGACACTGTGGTAATGCTATTTTGAGTGCACACATTTAGTCTCCAGCAAATATTGTAGTCAGAAGAATAAAAGTATGATTTAATGGTTGTGGCATTTAATATTTTTGTGTTGTTTTGGAAACAGCAAATAAGTAATAGCGCGAAAGACTGAACAGAAATCAGATTTGCATTTTGTCCCAGTTCTCTCCAGCGGTCGAAGAGTTGTCGTAGAGTTATCGCAGCTGGAATCCGGCGGCTAAGAGACTGTAAGTGGAGCAGCACAGTCACGTTTGATTTTGTAATTATAGAGTGCGTCACAAAAGGGCTGTGGAATGAGTCACTGCGGAGTTCAGGTCTGATGAAGGATCCTCTCTTGTCTTTGGTGTGAAATGTAAAGTGTGTGAATGGTTTCCCTCGTGCTGGAGAGGGATGCGCAATTCATTAGCGTTTGCGCAGTCTTTTCATGCCTGCTTTTCCCCAGACGCGGCGCTGGCACTATTAGCCCTGGCTGAGCTGTGAATTCTGACTGCCAGGGCAGACTGACGGCTTGAAAACTCAAACCGGCTGATTTCTTTAATTATCATTTTCCAGACATCAAAATATTTATCTCTTTTTCTTGTCTCCCAAGACCCAAACAGTAGGAAGTTAATTATTAACACTCACACCTAATACCCTCTGTCAAAACAAGAATAAAATTCCCAATGAAATCTCTCTCTCTCTGCTCCCAAAAGTTCTATAAGGTTCATTTAGACCACCCATGTTTTACATAACTGGACTCACTTATAATATTCTTTGTTTGTTAGAATTACTGCATCATCCTAGCTGATGTCGACTCAGATCAACAACATTCACTTTTAAATATATTAGAAGTTTGATTAACTGAAACAAATATAGGGCATAAATCATAGAGAATAAAATTATTTTCATATGTGTCGTTATTGTCATGATTAACTCACTCTCATGTCATACCGAACCCTTAAGACAATGGCTGATCTTTGAAACACAAATTAAAATATTTTAATGAAACCTGAGAGGTTTCTGGCCCTCCATTAAAAGTCCAGGTAACCAAATCATAAAAATCCAAAAGGCGCCCAAGTATTCTGAAGAGACACAATCCTCATTGGTTCTCACACATTTGATTTCAGAGCCACTAGTGACAGTAACTTCTTTACATGTTTTTGTTGTTTTGTTTTGTTTTTTCGTTTTTTGTCTTGTTTCATTTGATTTTGTTTTGACTCAGCCATACGTTTAGGGTACAATTTGTTTCCCCAAACAATAGTAGACAGGAAGAGTGAAACGTGTTTGTTTCTGTTTGGTGACACATAAATTACACACTTCACCTTTACACAATTGATGAATTTATTTATTTTTTCTTATTGTTTTGTTTGTTTGTTTTTTGTTTTTGTTTTAATTGTTTTTGTGTTGTTTTTTGTTTTTTTTTTGTGTTTTTTTTTTTCACTTGTTTAAAAACAATCGTTATTTTTGCAGTTATGTTTACAGAAATTACACACTTCACCTTTAAGTACATCTAATACCAAACTGAGTAAAAAAAGAAATAGCTGAAACCGAAGCCTCATCCTTCTCTTTGCAGAAATTATTTGTGGGTATTTAATTATGTGCCGACTCATTAAAATGAAATACAATGCTTACATTGATTTTTTTTTTTACATGTCATTTAATTTGGCTGCAAACTGATAGTGAGAGGCTGTGCACGAAGGCAAAACCACATTGTAATTCCATTTTATCAGTCAAGTAAAACAGCTGAGATGCACTGCTGTTGAAATCAATTATTTAAGAGAGACAGGAGAAATGTTCCAGTGTCTCCCTTCAGTGAGAGTTCCTGGCTTACTGACTCACAGTTTTATTTGTGTCTGCAGTAAACTGATGTTTACTGGAATATAAATATGTAGGCTATTAATTTTCTGCATGAGAAGGCAATAATGTGTATTATCTTTCTGTATAATTAACTAAAATTATATATTGATGTGCATATCAATATGTTTGTCATCTTTTGCTGGAGATGATTAACCATATCATCCACAAACAGAATCATGCAGAAATATGTATAATCCAGTATGAACAGTCACAGTGCAGTCAGCTGTCAGCTTTGACAGTTATAAAGAAAGCTCACCATTTTCTGTAGATGGTTTCACTGCTTCTACTTGTGTTTCCAAGTACTTTAACTTGTTTTTTTGTTGTTGGCCCTGCAGCTTTTGTTTTATATTCATGGCCATGACCAATTGAGGTTTGTTTATCAGCAGTTTTCTAGTAATTTATTAAGGGACAGTGACAGATCCCTCCAACAAACCTTTAGTTTAGTTCATGATACTATTCGAATTAAATGAAGAAATGGAAAACGTAACTCTCTGTAAATACATGATTATATTAAATTGACTTAAAGTCTGACCTTGAAGTTATTAATGGAAAACAATAACATCAGATACTGTGGAGACTTCTTATATTTTCTACTATGATTTCAATGCTTGTGCGAAATGAGACATTTAATATGACTTTAATCTTTTTGCTGATTATTAAAATCTCAGCAAAACTGCTTGTAACCTTAAAATAAAGCTTCATATTAAAATAATAACTCATTCATCAAGAGGGTGAACACTGAGATGAATAAATCCTTGTTTTTAAGTCACAGCTTCATAGTTTGAGGTTTAGAACAATCTCTTCATCCAGAAATGTTTCTTCAAGGTTGTCTGAGAGCAGTCCAAGTTCTTTCTGCATGACTATACAGCAGTGAGACAAATGTGGCTTGTGTATTGATTCCAGAGCGTTTTTATCAAAGCTCTTTCAGTTTGTGAGAGAAAAAAACAATGCAACTTGTGTTGCATCGTTGTCTGCGGATGTTTTAAGCTTCTCTAAACCTCAAGTTGTCGATCTCTTGGGACAAGTTTGGCCTCAGATGATCACTGGTGGGTGACTCAAGAGCATTTGTTTAAGAACTGTGAGTCTTTATGAAGTAACAAACGAAACTAAAATAATTCTGCTTACTGAGAATAGTGTTCTAGGTTTTTCTGTCTGAGTTGCAAATGTAATTTGTTTTAATATTTATTTCAACATTGCACAGAAAAATGTTTTGTAGAATGAATTTTGCATTAGTTTTGTACAATGTGCTTTGGCATATGAGACCTCTATTTCATAACACTGCTTATGTCATGCTCCTGCTTACAATTTGATTTAAATGACATCATAAAATTTAAGAGCAGAATCATACTCGTAACAATTAAAGCAATGGACATAAAAGTCATCTGCACCTTTCCCCGCTGTTAGTTGTCATGCATTTTAAGTGACAGTCTTTTGTAAACTATGGCTTCATGAATTTTGTCCTCATTATTTTAAAAGGAAGTGAACATAGGAGCATATGTTGAGAATACTGGAGTGGAAATTATTGACATAACAAGTAATTTGCATTGAATTTGTGACATCCCATGCTCAACACATCCTTCATTCTTAGGAAATGTAGTGAGGTCCAAAAAATTTAATGAAAATGCATCTATTTAGCAGATTTCTAATTTAATACAGTTTAAGTCTAGGGTCAGTAAGGTTTTTTTTTTTTTTTTTTGTATAATTGTATTCAGCATGTATGTATTAAATTGATCAAAACTGACAGTAATTTGTCACTTTTACATTGTTGTAAAAAACTGTTTTCAACATTAATATTAATATGAAATCTTGAGCATCAAATCAGCATA